TACATATATATATATATATATATATATATATATATATATATATATATATATATATATATATATATAGATATATATATATATATATATATATAGATATAGATAGATAGATATATATATATATATATATATATATATATATATATATATATATATATATATATATATATATACAAAGAGAGAGAGAGTTGGATTGATATATATTTCCACTCGCCTTAGCAATAAGCAAAATATTTGTATAAAATATTGTATTTTTTTACAAAAATCAAATCTTAAAAACAGGTTGAAAAACAATTAAAATGCATTTTATAAAAGAGTTCAAACCTAAACCTCTTAACCTTTACTTGTATATGATGTAGGCAAAACGTACCGAGTGTGTTTTGAGAGCAACCCGACATAGAATTATTACTATTCATATACAACAGAGTAGAAAACAGAAACACAAATATATAGTCTCAGAAAAACATTTGAAAATGACTAAGAAAAAGTAACCGATAATCCCTATGAATAGACTGTGCACTCTTAATCGTCAGAAAATAAAACTTGTAAATGCACTGGAAAAAAATAAAACAGGTAATTGCTTTTTGGCAGGACTCCTTCAAGGGAAAAACGTGGCGAGTCACCCGAAGTGCATTATATTTCCTCTGAGCTGATAAAAATCGATGGGAAAAAACATCAAATCTAGCACTATGTCAGAAGATTTGGGAACAAAAAAGTAACCTGAGATAACTCCGTCATTGGTAATACAACTGCCAAAGAAAGGAAGGCTCAGTCAGTGTCGAAATTATAAGACAATAAGCCTGATCACTCATCCTAATAATGTCCTGTCCAGTATCATTTTTAATCAATTTGGAAACTAAAGTTAAATAACTGCTATCAGAGGAACAAGCAGTTCTTAGATTGGGATGAAATACAATGGAACAGCTTTGCATTTGTAGGATCCTCGTAGCGAAACACCTGCAACATCAGAAGAACGTTTGCCACAATTTTGTCGATTTCAAGAAGGCATGAGTCTTTGACCAATTCGTAGGGAATTCAATATAGACAACGGAAGGATCAGGAGCATATGGAATGGTTTTCTGCTCCGAGAAATCCAAAGTAATGGTGAAAAGCACAAACTGTAACACATGTGCCAACATTACCATGAACAGGAATTCACTAGAGGAACTCTCTATTTTTAAATACTTGTCTAAAGATGGTACCTGCAGCTTGGAAATCTGCATACGGATTGCCTCGGATATTTTAGCGATGGTCAAATTGTCAAGAATAATGAGGAACAAAATCAGCGTTAAAACGAAGTACAAACTTTACAATTCGCTGGTCGTCTCCAGTTTCGTATAGGGATGTGAAACGTGGACACTGTTGGTAGAAACAGAGAAAATGGTGCAAAAGTTTAGGGAAAATGCATGAGAGAACTCCTTGGCAACTTCTGTTGGGAACATGAAACAATGGTTTTGTGGGGAGAAAAGCTTACAAGATTTGTGGGCCACCAGGAACATCTTCTTGCCACATTCAAATGGAGCCTAAAGGTGTGGTTTGGACACATTGCAAGTCACGACATCCCGTGAAAGACAATCAAGCAAGGCGCTATTGAAAGTGGACATAAGAGAGGACGCCAACTGGTTGGACAATGACAAACAATGGACAAGTATGAGTATACAAGAATTGTTGATGGCTGTGGTAGATAGAGCATTTTGGAGAAGATTCAATATGGCCTCTGCATTCCGATCCCCACCTACGATTACAACATTCAAGGTGATGATGATTATGATGATGGTAATGATGATGATTCAAGGAAACATAAATGAAGAACCTATTGCTTTCCAAATCTATAAAAAAAGTCCCGCTGAAAAGCCAACTTATCTTTCTAACAGATGGAAAAACTCGTAAAGGATGTTAATAATGCAAAACAAACTTTAAAGTCATTAACTACGACCGAACTATACTCAGACATCACTAACCAACTGGATCATATCATACAAAACAAGGATACCACTCTCAGATGTGAAATTCAAGAAAGCTCAACAATTTACGTCTGAACATGCTTTTTCCACGCCACTAAATTCACCAATTCTACGAAATTCACCATGTGCGTATACCTACCCTGAAGATGATTTAAGAAATTCGAAAGATTTGTACCATATTTCTTATTAAATTAAATTTGAATAATTACAGACAGTATTTCCTCATTATCGGTGGAGGATTATAAGTAATTTTGAAAAGTCGTTCAATAAAATTAATCGGCATAAATTGTCTGTTGTCTTTGATAATATTTTTCTTAAAGAACATCTGCTGCCAAAATACACACACAATATATATATATATATATATATATATATATATATATATATATATATATATATATATTTATTTATTTAGGTGTGTGTGTGTGATCATTAGATAATATTAGTAATACTTCCTTTTAAAAGTTCGCGCCTGTTCTCATTACATTACATATTCAGAAAATGAGTCAATAAAAGCCTAGCATTCGACTAAGATCGTGATGCGTCACTTAATCAAATGTCCTCTCTCTTTCTCTGGGCAACCACTGTTACTTATATGAAATGTAGTTTTAGGGTGACTATATTTCCTGTCTTGCATGGAGAAGAAATGGTGTTCATTGAATTTGGCGCGGAAAATCTACTTCTTTATATGGATTCAAACACGGCATATGTCCATAATAGAATTTACTTTTGCAAAACACAGTGGAAATATATTGTTTTTCCTGCATGAATGTATTTTGAACATTACGTTCTGAAAACAATGCGATCAATCTAATTAGCTTTTTTTCGATTGCTACTCGCAAACCGCTTATATATTTTGAAGTTCTTTATTGTTCTGTTTTCGTTTCCCTCTTTTTGGCAGTTTCTTTCTTCCTCGTCATCTCCGTTTTTCTGTGTTCATCAGACCAGTTCTTTATCTACTGCATCTTATTTATCTAATGCGTCTTCCTGTGTGTTTGTTTTCATCCTCTTCTCATGAGTGAGTATATGTGTATGTTGAGGTATGTGATCTTGATTATGATTCTTTCGGTATGAGTGAGTGCTTGAGTTTTTGCATGACTGTGTGGTTTTCAGATCATATATTTATATGAGTATGTACGTCTGTGCTACTGTGAGTGCATATATGTGTTTATCTGTCCTTGTAGAAGTTTTACGTGAATTTTTATGACAAGGTGTACATGAATGCGCGTTCTTGCTTTTGTATGTTTTTGAAATATAAAGATTTGTTATGACATGTTTTCCTGGGTGCATATTTATGTGAGTATGCCTGTGAGACTGTATCTGTATACAAGTATATGTCTGCGATGCGTGTATATTTGTGAGCATCTTTTGAACGCTGTATTTAAGGGCAAATGTCTGTGAGTGGATTCTTTCGAGAGGGTAATTTGTGTGAGAATATCTGTGCAATTCTATTTCTTTGAAAGTATGTGTTTACATTGCATGTGCATTTGTTTGCATGCTTCTGATTGTGTGCACATGAGTTTAAGTTGGTGTCATTAATGCTTTTGAGTGCATGTTTTCGGGGGTGTATATTTAAATTGGTATGTGTGTGATTTTGTGCGTGAGTGTACATGTTTGTATTTCTGTATGCATGTTTGTATATACGTTGACGAATGTTTGGGCAACGTTGTGTGTGCATAAATTACGTTTCTGTCAAATTGCGTGTTTTCCAGTTTACATATTTATATGGATTACTGTGTGTACGTATGTTTTTTTTTATATTTGTGTATATGTTTGATTGCTTGTTCATTCTAACGTGTGCATATACGTTTATCATTTTTTAAAGTATGAACTGCAAATGTGTGTGTCTGACTTTTAGAATGTATTTCTCTTTGATTATGTGTATATGTTTCTGCATCGTATATCAGACATACGAGTCATTATTCCTATTAACTTTACATTCATTAAACACACCTATTTTTTAACATTAATTCTTTGTAAACATTTGCTTCTTACAGTTTTTTTTCCTTCATTTAGTTGGTTTTTTTTCTTTTTTTACTCTTATTTATATTTTCCCCCATTTTTAATCTTTTTAATTTTTATTTCCACCATTTTTACTCTTTTTATTTGTTCTCATTGTTTTCCCATAATCTTAAACCGTTTTTTATGTTTGTCATCTGTTCGAATTATTTATTTCCTTATTGATTTTTTGTTTAAAATATTTTTCATTTATCTTCTACGCTTATTGTTTTTTGATATTATCAAAGTTTAACTTAACGCCGCCACCAGCCTCAATCAACAGACATTGGAGTAGAATGCTGGTGATAAAGCAAGCTCTAAATCAAGACAAGTTCAGCATCTTGGTATTCAGTTTTCGAACTCCTGGCTATCGTCTCGGATCGAATAAAGACCAATATCGCCTGGGGAAAAACAAAATGATCTAAAATAACAAACAAACCAAACCTACATTGCTTTTATTTCTGAGATTTTTATTTAGGTTTTTTTTTTGTATTTTTTCAATTGATTTGTCTCATAGATTTGACTCAGTATATCTCTTTCTTTCCGTTTTTCTTCTAATGATTCTCTCTCGAACTATGACCATTTCCCGCTCGTTCTTCAAAACAATCGAACATATCTGCATCTATGCAATGTTTGGAAACAGAATTGTTTACATTCATACGTCTGTTTCCTCTCTATTCACAACCTTATCTCGAAGTTATACTTTTATTTACTTTGTCGTATTATTAATCATTCTATTTCTTCATTTCTGTCAGTTACGCCATTTTACCGGTATTTTTTTTCTTTACTCGGAGGAATCTTTATTTTTTTTCCCTTTCTCTCTTAGTTTTCTTTCTGTTAATTCCCGGACATCTTGCTTCGCCATTCGCTCGACCTCCCTTGGAAATTGCTTTCGGGCAAAAACATCTAAAACCAATTGTGTCCCTAACGCATTAGATTTGCAAATTTTAAATAGGAAATACTTGATATTCACATCGTTACAATCATGAGGAGATTCAATTATAATATTTTAAGTGTCTTCCTGTCCTTCAAAATTGTTATAATAATAATATATATATATATATATATATATATATATATATATATATATATATATATATATATATACACGAGAGTGTGTATGTGCATGTCTTTATATGTATTCATTCATATCGAATTTGCCTATATATAATATATATAGAATCGTAAAAAAACATATATATGAAAATATTATCACAGACACACACAGAGGCACATACACTCATACACACATATTTATTGTGCTTGTTTGTATTGATTGGTTTGAAATTTAAATATATTTATTTACACATGCATAAATATGAATATATATAAATATTTATATTTATATACATATATATATATATATATATATATATATATATATATACATGCATATATAAATATTTATATGTATATATATAAACATATATATTTGTAGAAAATATAAATATATATATATTAAGATAGATAGATAGATAGATGGATATGAATATATACTATGCATACATAGATATAAAATTAGATATAAATATACATACATAAATATACACCTGTATGTGTGCATGAGAGAGAGAGAGAGTATTTTGTAAAATGTGTTATATTCATGCTGCTCAATATCTGAAACATACTGTCTATAGATATATATTATAAATATACTAATTTTTATTATTAGTTAAAACCTAAGCCGATCCTTATTTTACAAGAAACACAAGCGTTCAAAAAGCACAACATATGTGTGTGGGTGTTTTTTATTTACAGACCGAAAAAACAGTTGTCATACAAACACATATATTATGCAGCGTCGAGATGACGAGTCCATAAATTGTTGGGTGACCGAATGGAAATATCAGGAACTGTAAGCTTTGATATTCAGGTGGTGCAATGAATTAGAAATCGCTCTAATAATCCGGAGAATCGGAGAGCAAAATTACAGTTCCACATGGGTTAGTGATATAAATCCAACTCTTTCCCGATATTTGGCATAATTTTTCGATCTTGTATTTGTAAACCTCTACAATAAATTCTTACGAGCTAAAAACATTTGTAGCTTTAAATAACCTGGGAAAGTTGACAGCCCATAACTAGGTATAAGCGAATACATCTATCAGTTTCTTGGGGCAATAAGGTCTCTTTATTTAACTGAATCTCATTTTTAGTTTGCTCCTTCAAGAATGTGTTGTCTTTTTATTATTATTATTATTATTATTATTATTATTATTAATAATAATAATAATAATATATGCATACATACATGTGTGTGTGTGTGTGTGTTTGAGTGTATGCTTGTGTGCAACGTGCGAGTGCGTCCGAGTCTGTTGCATAATGTTATGGGGAAATTTTTACGTGCACTGAAGCTTACGTACCCTAAAAATGCATGCATCTTCTGCAATCGGATATTTTATTTACCCTACACACACACACACACACACACACACACACATACATACATACATACATATATATATATATATATATATATATATATATGTATATATATATATATAAATATATATATATATATTTAATTATATTTATAAGAATTATTACCTGAATACAATTATGTAAATTTCTATCTATGCGTGAATAGAATATGTGGGTGGCAATTCTCACATACACGTATAACACACCCGCCCGCGTGCGCGCGCACACACACACACACACAATCATACATATGTAATTGTGTATTTGGCTAGCAATACTTATTTCATACAAGTTTCTCTGCAAACGTCTGACAAGGTACCGCGTTTAAGTATGGTTATAATGTTCTTCTCTGGACTTAAATTATGTAGAAATTCTCCCAATGATATTTTTTTCATGGCGGAGTGCTTTCGGCAATACATTTAGCCAGTATCATTCCTATAATTCTCGATAAATACAGGAAAAATTGCATGCATTCAGTTGAAAAAAATAAAATCACCCTGGACTATTGCTAAATATATAGCCGAAATCACACGGAAATAGAAAAAATTTGAACAATTTTAACATAATTTACCTCCAGAAAAGAACACTAGAAAAAAAAAAAAAAAATAACCGCAGTACCTTGTCAGATGTTTTATCTTTTTTAAATGAAATTTATATATATATATATATATATATATATATATTTTTTAAAAAAATTTATAACATAATAAGTTATAAAATCATACAAAAATATTTTGTTTCAACACACTCTGTGTCTTATCAAGTGATGGTGTTGAAAAGAAAAGACACAGAGTGTGTTGAAACAAATGGCTATTTTTGTAGTGATTTTATAACATACTTATGTTATAAATTTTTTTTATAAAATAATTATATCTGCTCTACTTTGTATTGAGCACTCTTTTTAAGAATAGTAATTGTTGGTTATTGAATTCATTCCGTGTATACCAATTATATACTTTTATATATATATATATATATATATATATATATATATAGGTAAATTCACACGTCTCGAAAACCTTTCAGTTTCTTGATTTGCTAATGGTCAAATCAATCTCGAAAGAAAAAAAGGGTTTTAAGAAAGAAAGAGCTATGAACATAAACGTCTGTCAAAAATAATCGTACAGCGTACAGGTCCAAAGCCCAAAGATAAAAACCCCGATAGGAGTAATCAACTAACTTAAAAGTGCTCGATACAAAAGTAGAGCAGACCTAGTCAAAACTAGAGAGTTAGACAAACCTACCAAGGTTTTACCTAAGCGGAAGTCAGGGAAAGGCCAGCTTTCCTTGACGATCTGCTTAGGTGAAACCTTGTAGGTTTATCTCTTTTAGGTTTGAATATATATATATATATATATATATATATATATATATATATATATACACACACACAATAATGTGTTTATATGAGATTTATAATATGTATTTCTTAAAATAAAACTGCGTTTTGCGATTACAATGATAATTCGTAACTGCTTACGCAAAATGTTAAATATATTCTTTATTTTGAATGCCAGGCTAACGACGCAGCTGTTAAAATATATTATTGGTAGCAACGGGGAGCTTCGCCTTTAAGTTGTGCACTACAAATCGTCTATCATTTTCAACCAGAGACTTCAGGAGACAAAAAGACCTTGCCTCAAATGATGCTAAAAAATGGCATGCAACCAAGAAGAAAGATAAGTAATTCTGCTCACTGCATAGAAGGAAATTTACGGAAGATTTAAGAATTAACCCTGACTAAGATTTTGTCTAACTGGAGTAATATATAGCGGTTATTATTAGGGAAACAAAAGGCTGTGTTCGAATTCCTGTAGAGTCCGTTACATTCACTTACATGCAAATAAGATGGGGAATTGTATGACTCCATCTTTTCTAGCACCAATAATGGGTAAATATTAGGACAGACTGGGACTTATAGCCGTAGTTGGCAACCGGTCTCATCTCTGAATTTTATTTTTCCAACTATGGGGAATTGTATGGAAGGCAAGTCACATTAGACTTCGTTGGTGACAATCCAGTAAAAAGACGACTCCAATTTTAAATACGTATGTTACCCTTGCAAGGCACATACTATAAGCAGGTAATGAAAGGATCCTGAAATTTCAATGACTATGATTTCTACAGGGATCGGAATTGATAAAGATTTTTTGAAATTCGCATATTAACGTTTTGCTTGAATTTGTATTATATATTTGTTCTTAGATATTCCTTATTATTATTATTATTATTATTATTATTATTATTATTATTAATATTATTTCCTTTGATGTCTGGCGTTTACACGTTTCTTTCCGGGCCCCGCCCAGGGACCTAAGGTTAGAAATGGCATCATGACACTTTCCATTGACAAAAAAATATTATTATTATTATTATTATTATTATTATTACTTGTTGTTGTTGTTGTTGATCTTCTTGTTGTTGCTGCTGCTACTGTTGTTGTTGATTGTGCTATGACCTTGCCAGAGAAAAAATTTAAGTGCTTAATGATGAAGAACCCTTCAGAATCTATGAATGAAAATGGCACTGTAGGATGAATATGTATGCACCTTTTATACGTTTCATTTAGATGAAGAAGGTTTTGAGGATATGTGCATTTCCGCATAATGTAAACATTTGTAACGCTGAAATGTTGATGTGTCCAGAAAGGTTACACATATGATTTTCAGTAATTTTTTTCTCATATCCAATTCCACATTCACAACAAGTATAATCGCAGATTTATGTTTCCTCATTTTTGCTATTTCGAGTTACATGGCGTTTTAATATTACAATTTATGAAATTATTTTCTTTAGAAACACTGGTATCCTGTGAGCCTATATATATTCATTGATGGTACGGCCTAATAACCAAAGCAAGCTCAGTACTCGGTAATTGTAAACATAGATTATGGAAGCCCAAAAACATGTCTCTCAGTGTAAAGACCGATGTATACAGATCAATCTTTCTCTCAGCTCTACTCTATACTGCTGAAACATGGATTCTATAAAGAAAATTGCAATGCTGATGAAATTTAACAATATCACAGGCATTGGAACCATTCTAGCAAAAATACATCTAAATTGGGCTGCTCATGTTGTGACAATGGATGAGCATAGGCTTTTGGTGTCTTGTCAAGTGATAGTGTTGAATCTTCAACACCATCACTTGAGAAGACACCAGAAATGTTGAAAAGTTTTGAAACAAAATTTATATTTGCTCTTCTCTGTATTCAGCACTCTTTTAAGAATAGTATTTGTTGGTTATTGGATTTTATTCTGTATACACTAATCATATATTTGTATATATACCAATCATATATATTATATATATATATATATATATATATATATATATATATATATTAGTGGAAAATATACATACATATGCAAAATATATATAAAAAATACCCATACATGTATATTTTCAGAAAAAAAATTTTCCAAGAGGAAGAATCCAGGTAGAACTCAATAAAATTGCGTTTACTTAAAGGGCCGCTTTATTACAAAGCGGCCCT